AATGTACACACAAACTTACGTTTTACCTAATTTTTATTGCCGAAATTATTTATGTTTTAATGGCTTGAACTAGTTTATAGGTTTCACAAATCATAATAAACAGTTCACTAATAGAAAAAAAACGGTAACTTTTCTATACATGTAATTAAGAACGCATAAAATAAGCACCTAACCATAAATAGAATATATTTATGGTAACTGAGTTAAATAGTATTGTAATATTAATTACTTGATTAAATACTGTACGCATTTTTTTTTGTTTTAAACCACAAAAAATATATTTAATTGCTAATTTATAAATAAATATATAAAAGTAGTTACTTCAAAATGAATATAGCGGGAATATGATACATGACAGATACTGTAGGACCTAAAAATTCAAAATGTTCATGACGAATTTTGCAAGGATAAAACCGGGTCAGAAACGTAGGAGGCATGAAACTGCCTCAAGTTCCTGAAGATACCGGTTGGAATTTTTATTCGACCAACGGCTTTATTATTGACAAGATCTACAATGTGGACATTTTTTGTTTCAATTTTTGTTTGCGGAGTTTGTTTTGCCGAGCGAATTCAATATGCAACAGCAATGCCAGTGGAAGTGCCAGAAATTGAAAGGTATTTTTTACACGTAACTTTTTTTTAATTGGGTGAGTTCTTCTTTTGTTTTTGAATTTTAACTAGCGCTAATCAAAAATCTTTTTTATTTCAATTTATTATAGCTTAAAAAAATATAAAGCGATCTCAAATCCAATTCACTATGTCACGTGTAGCGATATTAGTTAGGTGCATTTTACATGACTCGATTTTACTTAAGTTTTGGAATCGAATACGTGTAATTCAAAAAATATATAAACATTAAACAGCAACTGTTTTTCTCGCATTCCTTGTAAAACATTTTTTTTTAATAACAAAAATAACTGGGTTTGTTTTCCTAAATTATTTGTTGGTCTTCACGTTATTATTTCGACCCTATAAGAGAGAAACTCTGTTAAAATACGAGTAACATACCTGAAAGGGTTGAGACACTATTGTAGAGACTTTTATTAGTAAAATAAACAGTTTTTATTTTTCTCATTAAGTAGATTTTTTGAATTTTTATTTTGCAAACATTTTAAACGTATGTAAAAAATACTCTTCCGTTTGTTAGAAGAAAATGAAAAATATACCACAAGGAAAAAAATACTGTTGCATGCTCATACATTATACATATGTATATAGCTTTACAGTAACTTGCATTGTATATGTTACTGTATTGTAAATAGAAATTCATCATAGTAAATCAGATTTGAACTCGCGATGCCCTTGCTAAGTTGACCACTTCACTTAAAGATCCGTTAAATACTTGGGTGTAAGGTGTAAACTATTTATTATCTCTTGTACAAATTCCACAACACTATTCCTGAAGAATTATTCTTTTATAATACGTAAAATCATTAAAATTAAAATTTGAATTCTTTTTCTGAATTATTAAAGGATATCATAAAAACGAAACGATTTAGGGTCCATTGAAGTATCATGTAAAAGTAAAAAAATTCATCGTAATTTTAGCAGCATCTTTAAAGTAAGACAATGTAAAAAAATTACCCCCTCCCTCACAAAATAATAAAATTATAATAGACTTTTATATCTTCAAGCTTTTATAAATTGAAGCAAAACGCAAAAAAAGAAAAGATTTAGGAAAGGGAATTACTATCACCCCTCAGACAATAATAAAGTTATATCTTCATTTTTTTTTTTTAATTGAATGAAAATACAAAAAATAAAAGGTTTAGGGATCATTCAAGTATGTAAATAAATTTGTTGTAATTGTAGTCTAGCCTTTTCAAAAAAAAAAAATAACAAAAACTAAGTTAGACCCTCCGCTTACCTCTACAGCAAAATAAAGCAACAAAATTATCACCCTATCTTAAAGAATAATAAAATTATGTATCAATTATTCGATTACGATATAATGTAAGATACTAAATTTTACGCAGGTAAGTTACGATAACATCCCTTCCTCTTATTTATGTGATTATATAACTGCTGAAAAAAACCTATTCTTGTATTTTTGAAAATCATTTTCTATTTTTAGATTATATCCACCCGTGGATAGTCCTAGACCGTTTTTTAATTCGATTGGGGACCTAATTGGTTCAACAGGATTTTTACCAATCGAAATAAATGTTCCCGATACAATCACCAATTTAATCAACGGAATACAATCGATTAGTGGAGGAAACCCAATTGGAAATGGAGTTATACTAAACTCACTAGTACAAAGATTTCCTTTTCTGCAAAATTTTAGACCTCGTCCTAATGCATCGCCTTACATTTTTTTAATTTTGCCAAATCCTAACAGAAAATGGGATAATGGTAACATAAAAAATGCCCTTTATCCTTTTGATCCCAATAGCGAGGAATATAGTATGTTTTACCCTTAATGAACTAATTTTCTTATTAATTAATACACACAGTGGGGTAATTAATTAAAATAAAAACGTTGCTCTGGCAAATGGATGGTACTTGTAATTAGTCAATTTTGAGTAACTGACGAATCATCATGTACCTACCCTTTTGACCTACATAAAAAAGCGTATACATATATATAGTATACTTTACCTTTATCTTATTTATTTATTTATTCCTTAATTAGTAGACAGTTTGTAGGGTAGCATTTATCATACATAGACTAAAATACAAATACCGATTGCATCATATGTAATTTAGCTAATTAACAAATAATGTAGGTATCTAATATAAATAATAAAATAGTAAATAGTGTTAACGAAGTATTTAATACACTTCTCGACAACTGTTTCGACTGAAGAATCATTTTCAAGGGTATAACAATATTGTTTACACTCTTGAAACAATATACTGTTATTTTTAAAACATGTTTCATGAAAACTCATCTACTTATAGTTTGTTTTAAATAATGTAGTATATTAATACGTATTTTAACTTTAGTATTTCAAAATGTAAGAAACAAATTCAGAAGAATTAACATATAAATCATTGTGCCTAAAAGTGACCACAAGGTGCTGCTTATTGGAAAAAGTTTGTTTTATAATTATGATAGAAACGAAGACACCTAAACTCTCCTTTTTAATATTATATATAAAAAAAATATGAGTGCTGTCAGCACAGGGCAAAGTAGTATTACGTAAATGAAAGTTACTACCAACAATTTCTTATGCTGAAGTGTACGATGTGTTGCTTACCTATTTGAAAACAATTCCTTTAAATTTTAATAATTGATTACTATACATCTATTAAAAAACCATAATGGCCGACTTCAGTGACAATGCGACAACAATTGAAAAAGAATGATGGCCGACAACTGCAACAATTAAAAAAAATGATGGCCGACAACTGCAACAATTAAAAAAATGATGGCCGACAACTGCAACAATTAGAAAAGAATGATGGCCGACAACTACAACAATTAGAAAAGAATGATGGCCGACAACTGCAACAATTAGAAAAGAATGATGGCCGACACTACGTCACAGTGGAGCAATAAAAATGGCCGGAGGCATGGGAAGAACTAGTTTCAATAAAAAAAATGCCTACAATTTCAAACATCAGTTAATGTAACCGTACATAGAAATATCCAGTTTTTGCTGTTTTAATTTTTTTCAAGCAACCATTAAAAACATCCAAAATCACCATACATAAATTTTAAATAAAAAGCCCTACCTTTTCTTATATTTCTTAGATGATAGATCCTGTTTTCTAATTCACAATTCACTTTACAGCAAACCCAACCAATACTTGACTTAAATGCACGATCATGAGCAGGATTATTTAAAAAATAAACAACTTTGACAGTTAATTTTATTCTTTGTTGAATAGATGCTGCCACCTAAATTAATTTTCTTTAATCTACACACTTAAAAATAAAATAAAAATGCTACTAGCGCCCTCTTATAGAATTGAGCTTACATATAAACTTTAAAATTATTAAAATTTTGAATTTGTTAATACTTTAAAATAGAATAAAACAGAAATATTCCAAAAATTGTCAATAACTATTCCTTTTAAATTTAAGATTACAATTTGAAAATTGTAATATTTTAAGATACATAATGCTAACAAAAAATGAGTGAAAATAAATCTTACCTTAAAAGGAAATTTCATAGGGGCAGGATCGGCGATAAGAGCTTATACAATGCTAATTTTTTGAGGATTGAGAAAATGATAGTATTAATCACATTAATTGCTTTTATTAACTAATTCTTTCAAAGTAAATGGAAACATCATAGTCTTTTACATCCATGACAGAAACGAAAACACAATTATTAAAATTAAATTCATTCTTTTCTCCATTACAAATGTAACAAGAGACGTACAAAATGCTTATCAGACTTTTAAGATATACACAGTTACATTGAATAAGAAAAACTGAATGAACGAAAACAACAACTTCTTTCTCTTTTTTTTTTTTCGAAAAACCATTTAAAAACTGAAGTTACGTTTTGAAAATCAAGAGAAACACAGTAAACATAACTTTATGAACTACAAATTGCTATTTATACATATTATTAAAAAATTCAGCTCTATTACACTTGTTTAGTGTTAATCATAGAACAAATGACGAAGAGGAAAGCTAAAAATCTTTCAACAAAAATAAATACTCGTTTTGTTTTCTTTGATCAGTCTTAACACTAACGCGTTGAATGAATACTTCATTTGTTTTCGTTTTCCAAAAGTACTGTTATTTTATCGCGTGCGTATTTCATCTTTTCGTAAAGGGCTTTCGAATAGCCGTGCTTTTCAAGGGTTGAAAAACGGAATGTCCTAAATGACTTGTCTTCGTCTATATAAGTTATGGCACCCATCAGTGGACACATTATTATTTTCGTGTGATTACTAAAATTAATCTAGAAACAAATAATGAGATAAGAAAATTTCTCACACATTTTTTATAATAAATCAAAAAGTAAGTGGTTTAGCAAGCAAAGCCTTTTCAATTACTAGACTTTGTTCTGTTGAAAAAAATCAGGAATGTAGAATTAATTTGAACTACTTATCTTAATGAAAATGCAAATATTTTAAATAATTTGGAAACAATGTAGACAAGAGCATTCTGCAACTAAACTAATATAAAATAATAATGTAAAAAATAGTTATTTTGTTGTTACTTCAAAACAGCAATTGTTCAAAGGAAAGGGAAATTGAGGGGTTCTCTAAGAACTCACTTGTACTGTGCCATTATTAAGTTGCATCAAAACTCCAGAAGTAGACCTACACCACTGGAACAAATGGGGTATACGAGACATGTTATCAGTCTCCTTTACGACATTTTCTCCAGCTTTGACCAAATGTTCTTTCATGTAACGACCGAAATAAGACAACAATTTCACTTTCTTCTCTAAAAATTCTGGATAATTGTTAATGGTGAAATAAGTCTCTTTACCATTTTTATCAATAAAGTGGACATTTCTAAAACAAAAAATCTTATAAGGAATTGTTGAGAAAATAAAGTGAGAATTTATTCCTTACATGCCATTTGGAAGCATAATAAGCTTTGTGGTATCATTGAACATCACTCCAACACCTTCATCGCATAGCTGATATCCAAAACCATATTTGTCTGAGTAGTCAACCCATTTTGAAATCCAATAAAGGGGCTGAGCTGCAGGATCAGTCATTTCATCACCCAATTTTACAACTTTTGGTTCTTTATTGCTCTTTAATACCTAATCATATGTGGATAACATGCATCTAATTAATGTTCCATATGGAAAGCACTTATTTAAATATTGTTTTATTTTCCACACATACCCGTAAAATCATCTTCTTCAGTGTATCCAAACTTTCAGCTGGATCAAACTCTTGGATGACATTTTCAGACACTTTAACTGCCCCACGAGCAGCAATGGAATACCTGGCATTCTTTTGAGGTGATGGGTTATCATTCATTATGTTTTCTAGAAGAAATGTATAAAACATTCTTAATTAATTTGGAGTTATCTCTATCCTAATCTACTAGTGATATCTACTGATGTCATTTTGTTTAGAAAAATAGGTAAATTTCATTACCTGGAGTAATTACTACCAATGGTACTCGAGGTTTCTCCACTGCATTAAATAATGGGGCCATCGTAAGTGTACTAACAGGCAGTGAAGGAGGAAGATACCCATTGATAATAAAATCATGATTAATTAACTGTTGCACCTTTGGACGAGATTTGGGTTCTGGTTGTAACATAAGCATGATCATGTCTCTTGCAGATTGACTTATGGTGGGAGACAATCTACAATAATCAATTATGAATCAACTATTCATTGCACAAATAATTTTTATTCACAATATGTATTAAATACCTATAGTCACATTTCTTTATCTTGGAATATGTTTCTTTTAAACTGTCTGTTTCAAATGGTGGCTTTCCAAAAAGTAAAGTGTACATAATACATCCAATTGACCAAACATCAACCTCAAAGGAGTGACCCTTCTTAGTTAATATTTCAGGAGCTATGTAATTGGGAGTTCCACACAATGTATCTTTTCTCTCCCCATCAAATTTAATCTTTGCAGCTAGCCCAAAATCTCCTATTTTTACATGAAGATCATCATTTAAAAACAAATTTCCTAACTTCAAATCGCGATGTATGATTTTATTAAAATGCAAATAGCTCACACCACTCAGTATTTGTTTCATATAAAAGCGAGTTTCAGGTTCTGTTATAGTTTTTCTACGTCTCTGAAGTTCCATCATTGACTAGAATACATTTGAATTAAAAAGCATCCTTATTAAAGTTAACTTTCATCTAACCAAAGACAGTAACTTACCCTTCTCCTACACAACTCTAAAACAATATACACATTTAAGTTATCTTCAAAGAAGCTATGAAATCCCACGATATTTTTGTGTTTCAGTGTTCGATGAATACTTATTTCTTGAGTCATCTTTTCTCTCTGATTTTGTTTAGATATAATTTTCTTGGAAACAATTTTTCCTGCGTAAGTTGCATTTCTTGCCATGTCTGTAATCTCGTAGCATTTGGCAAATCCACCCTATGTAACAGATTATACACAAAACGCCATTTCTAGATTAATAGCAAACATACCTTTCCAAAGAACCTTCCTTTCTTGTACGATATCTTCGTGTTCGAATCATAAATGATATTAGGGATTTCTTTTTCATCTGACATTTTAAATTATTTTCTAGTCAATAAAATCTAATAAACACAAAATTAAACTACTAAATTAAAACCGAAAACCATTCGAACTCGTTGACTTCGGTGTTATGAACCTGAGAACGTTAAAGGCAGTTAGAAGGTTTTGAATAGATAACCGTTATTTCTTTAAATTTCCAATGCTACTTCTAACCTATTGACGCATAGGGAAACTAATGATAAATTAAGACAGGAAACGTAATTATCATGCTCTCTCTACGATAGATGGCACATCATGTACTTCTTGTTCATTTAAATTTAAATTATATGTGCGCGAAAAAAATATTACAGCTTCTTTTCTATATTTTGAAGTAACTTGTCCAGAATTAGTTTTTTACCCAATACGAGCTAATTTTTACTTATTTTATTCATTTCTTATACACTATAATAGTGGATTTAGTTAATAAATAGATAAAACTTATTTATGTATGTATTGGAATATTTATTACCCCCATTTAAATACCTTTTTGTCAATTTCTTATCTATATTTGAGTCAATTGCACACAATAAACGTATATTAGATATACACAAAGTAAAAAGGTAAATTCCTTTTGTAAAATGCCTTTCGAACGTGTTCAGTATTCAGTAGGTATATCTGTAATAGTACATTAATTAATGCGAATGTTTCATACATACATATCTAGCAAAGACCTTGATTTATAAATATCATTACAGTTTGTTCTCGCATCTGCAAAATAAAAATGCAGTTAATATGCATTTAAAGACTGCTTTATACTGAAGATTTTTAAATATATTTTATGGGACTGAAACGGAGTTATTATTGGTAGAAAAGTAGAAATAGAAAATATTTGCTTATCATAAACAATGTACTTGTGGATTATTTTAATTTTCAAGAAAGTCAGATGCAGTTACTATAAAACTGCTTTTATCATTACAATAAATCCCCTTCCTTGAACTCCGTCTAACTACCAGATAGCATTTTTTTAATGTCCCCTTGTATTTATTAATGCAATCTTGTGATTTGTGCGCAATTCTTTAATTACCTTTACGCACCTTTTATAAGTTTAATATTTCTTTCAATAACTTATTATAACATTACTAAACTTTTCTTTGATTGGTTGCGTTATTTATTCAAATCCGGTTATGAATTTGATTGTTTCTTTTACTGCTTTAATTATATTTATTTTTGTGCCTGTTGTGAGTAATTATAGAATTTTAGCATTAATTCCATACAATGGAAGAAGTCACTTCATCATGTTTGAACCCCTTCTTAAAGAATTGGCTTCCAGGGGACACGAAGTTGATGTTTTGAGCCATTTTCCACAAAAAGAAAAAATTCCGAGGTTTGTACACTATTTTTATTATGCCATACGTATTTTCCGCTCTGCTAATGTTGATATAAATAATTCGATGAAAATATTTTAGAAATTTTTAACAATTACATCTGAATTTCATATTATAAATATATATTACAAAACTGATACAGATGCGTAGTTTTTCTATCTGAAATGCGAGGCTTGAAGGACGTAACACTGACGAATTTGGAATGCTTTCGTTTCTTTGCTTTTATAACTAAATTTGTAGTTGAAAGAAACTAAAATAAATCAAATATCAGCGCAATTTACATCTTAATAAATTTTGTAGCAAATTAATATCAAAGATAAATAATTAAATAATACCTTCATCGTATTTACATATAATAATTGCGAAGTTATAAAAGATAAACACGTAAACTCTACTTAATAGTTTACAGTGTTTGTAAATGTAGCGAAATCGCTGCAAAAATTATAAAGTAATGATAAATATACTTGCATATAGATAAGTATTCAATCTTTGCATAGATATTTGCTGCAGTCCGATCAATTCGAGAATAATATTGAAATACTTATAAAATAAAAGTTATGATATGATACTAGGTCAAATAATATTCATTATATTTAAGTTTCGAAATTGCCTAACACCCTTCATCTTTTAAGATAATTTTCCTTTACAGATATACCGATTACAGTTTAGTAGGAACCCTCCCAGTGTTAGTGGGCAATGTAAGCTACGATTCAATGACCCATACGTTCTTCTTATCGTTTTTACGAATGGTTTTGAGTGATTATGGATTGGATATTTGCAAGACAATTTTTAATTCTGATGCTGCCACTGCTCTAAGAGATTCAAAAAATTCTTACGATCTCATCTTAACCGAAATATTCTTCTTCGACTGTATGTACGGTTTTTCTCACCATTTTAATGCCCCTGTGATCGCCATATCAACTAACGTCGATTTTCCCTGGGGTGCCAGTAGAATAGGGAACCCCACGAATCCATCGTATATTCCAAACTATTTTCTTTCGTATCTCAGTAAAATGAGTTTGTGGGAAAGAACATGGAATACCATTTACTATGGTATTACATGGATTTAGTGAGTATTTCTTAAATTACAAATTAATAACCATAAATCGTTTAAATGATACACAATAAAGCGTCGACACATCATGCTCCGATAACACGAAACTTAAAAAACTATTGTTCCTTGAAACCTCTCCTACATAAAACTATACTCGTACTCACCATACTCCAAAATGCGCTCCTGATGTTATCACGAGATGTAAATTACTGAATTAGCCAAAAGAAGTGATTGTTAAGTAAGAAAGTGCATAAAAAGAAAATCCATACACAAAAAAGCGCTTGTAAAATTATGACGAGAAAAAAATTAGTAAATTTGCCAAAAGGGGTGATTTTTATGTTTAAATGTGCGTAGAATTTACCACTGTCTAGAGATCTGGTGCTGTACCAAATTAAGGTACTACAGTGTTGTAATTGGCTAAAGTAATAGAAAAATCTGTAAACGAAAAAGCGCTCGTGAAGTTATGACGAAATGATACTTAATAAATTATCCAAAACGGGTAATTATTATGTTAAAAACTACGCAGAATTTACTGGTAGTAAAAGATTTTGCCTGCGGTTTGAAATGGAGTTTGTACGATGTTAAAAGTGGCTAAAGTAATGAAAACATAACGTGCACAAAAAAGCGCTCCTCAAATTACGACGATATGAAAATTAGTCAATTACCCAAAAGGAGTGATTATTATGTTAGAAAGTATGTAGAATGTAGTGATTCCAAGAGAATTTGAGTACCGTTTTAAATAAAGCTTCTATTACGTTATTATGTTCCGAAACAATGAAAAACCCATACACGAAAAAGCGCTCGTTAAATTACGACAAGACGAAAACCAATAAATTAGCCGAAAAGGGTGATTATTATGTAAGAAAGTACGTGAAATTTATTAGTATGGAGGGATTTTAGGTGCGGTTTAATATGGAGGCTGTATGGTGTTATAACTAGCTAAAACAATGAAAACATACGTACACAAAAATGCGCTCGTCAAATTACAACGATATAAAAATTAATAAATTAGCCAAAAGAAGTGATTATTATATTAGAAAGTACGTAGAAGTTAATGGTTGCAAGGGATTTTGAGTACCGTTTCAAATAGAGCTTCTACTACGTTATTATATTCTGAAACAGTGAAAAAGTCTATACAAGAAAAAGCGCTCGTTAAATTACTACAAGATGAAAACCCATAAATTAGCTGAAAGGGATGAATACTATATAAGGAAGTACGTAAAATTTAGTGGTATCAAGGGATTTTAGGTGCGATTCGATTTGGAGGCTGTATGGTGTTAAAACTGGCTCAAACAATGAAGACATGCGTACATAAAAAAGCGCTCGTCAAATTACGGCGATTTGAAAATTAGTAAATTAGCCGAAAGAAGTGATTATTATGTTAAAAAGTACGTAGAACGTAATGGTTCCAAGGGATTTTGAGTATTATTTCAAATAGAGCTTCTATTGCGTTATTATATTCTGAAACAGTGAAAAAGTCTATACAAGAAAAAGCGCTCGTTAAATTACGACAAGATGAAAACCAATAAATTAGCAGAAAGGCATGATTATTAAGTAAGAAAGTACGTAAAATTTAGTAGCGTCAAGGGATTTTAGACGCAGTTTGATATGGAGGCTCTACGGTGTTACAGCTGGCTAAAGCAATAAAAACATACGAACACAAAAATGCGCTCGTGATATTAGGACGAGATGGTAATTGCTGAATTAGCCAAAAGGGGTGATTCTTGTATAAAATTATACGGAGAATTTAGTGGTTCCAATATATTTTGGATACGGTGTCAAATAAAGCTGTAATCTTCCTCGTATCTTCTTCATTTACATTTTTTTTAATTATTAAATAGCTTTTTATTGTTATTCAAGTTATGGTATATATGGATTGGAATATGGTACACAACTTACACGAAATTTCTTCAACGACCAATCCATGCCTTCTCTAAGCAACCTGATTTCGAACAAAACAAGTTTGATATTCATAAATACACATTTTAGTATCAATTACGTTTCTCCAAAAGTACCAAACTTTATTGAAATTGCAGGGATACATATTAATCCGCAGAGACCACTACCACAGGTAAGTTTGTAGCAAAAAATAAATTAATTATTACTTAAAATTTATTTTTTTGATTGTAGAATTTACTAAATGAGTTAAATATTGGCGATAATTATAAGGGTGTTGTTTATATGAGTTTTGGTTCACTCATTGCAGTAGAAACTCTTCCTTTAAACATTTTACGATCATTTTTCGATTCCTTTAAAGAATTGCCCTACAAGGTCTTATTCAAAGGGCCTCGGGAAAAACTTATTAGCAAAGTCAATGTCCCCAGTAACGTACATTTCGAAAAATGGATGCCACAAAGGGACATATTATGTAAGTAAGAGACCAATGAACTGTTAATTAAAATAATCTATTAACGCGTAACTTCCTTGATAATTTTAATCAAAACATCACCCTCCGTACTTTTATAGTCATGTTTTCTGGTACATTGTTTAGGTCATCCTAACGTAAAACTATTTATATCTCATGGGGGACTAATGGGGACTCAAGAAGGAATATACTGCGGAGTCCCTACTCTGGGACTTCCAATATTTGCAGACCAAGAATTAAATATTGCAAATTCTCAAGCTAGAGGACTAGCATTAAAACTGAAGTTTAACGAAATCACCAAAGAATCATTCTTGACAGCTGTTAGAACACTTTTAGAAGATCCCAGGTAAAAATATCAATCTCATTATTGAGTTTTCTAAGAGTTATATTTAAAATTTTCTGCAGTTACAAAGAAAATGCAGAAAAAACTTCTAAACTCTTTCGAGACCGACCTCAATCGGCCCTGGATACGGCCCTGTATTGGACAGAATATACTTTAAAATATAAAGGAGTCCCACATCTCAGAAGTGTCTCAGCAGATTTAGCCTGGTACCAATATTACCTAATCGATGTGGCATGTGTCATTATTTTTGTAATTTTTTCCTTAACAACATTGTGCCGCATCGTGTTGAAGAAAATTAGAAAAGTTTTATCAAAACGTGCTTTTAAAATGCCGGATGTTAAGAAAAAAAATTAAGTACAATAAAAATTAGCTAATCCATATTTCAAAATCAAAAAATTGCGTAAAAACATTTTATTTTTAATACTGATAACAAATTTGTACAAAAAACATTATTTATTTATACGTAATAAAACTCAAAAAATATTTATCTAAAAGTATACGGTTAAGTTCATATTGTCTGATACTTTAGGGGACCTGATATTAATATCTGATACACTTTCGTCGCCCTGAAAGAAAAGATTTTTATGTATCGCTGCACTTACACACAAGAACATGTATAAAAAAATTACCACCTTGTTCTTTTACCTGAATTAATAAAGAAATAAGTTGGATTTTTTTTCTAATATAAAACACATTTCTTGTTAACTTTTTAACGACAAAATAACCCTCAATAAAATAATCAATAAACTGTTACTTACCTTTTTGTCCTCCCAATTAAGTCTTTTATTGGGAGAAGCGACAGGGTTCCTCGAAGACCAAAAAGGGGGTTGTGGTGCGGGATGTACTTTAGGACTAGGTTTACGTCTATCTGACGAAGCACCACGTTCGTCTGATTTACTGCAATGAGCTTTCGGGACTTCTTCAAAAGCGTTGATTATGTTGGGCATTGATTTGGTGTTAGTTTTTCCGGAGGTATGAGATCTCGCAGAGGGTAACAGTCCCTCTTGGTGGGACTTGCGTTTGCTAAGAATAATTAAAGTGATAGACATAGTTTAAAGCAATATAAAAATAAAACGTAAAGAAAGTATTGATTTTCTATCGATTGATGTGACATATGGTAAGACACCAATGAGAGTTATTTCACTTTGAAATCATTAATTTATAATATCTATTTGTCCCCTGTAAACCAAGCAGTTTCTACGACAACAAATTATTGACTATTTTTGAAACTTACCTTTTCATGATGTAACATATTAAAATAAATATGACAAAGCCTAAAAGTAGCAGCAAAGTGCCAAGTCCTGCCAACATAGTAGAGCTACCCCAGGTAGTGTCCTTCTGTTCGATTATTTCGGAGGACTTTTTGACATGAAAATATACCGTAACTGGTACAGACGCTTCGTGTGGTGGATCGGCATCATCTTTTGCAGTTACTAATAACGTTACAACTCCCTTCAAGTTAACCAATGGGTCTTTAAGTTTCAATTCTCCATTAGGAGTTATATAAAATAAGGACGCGTTGCTTCCGTTCAAGGAAAGTGACAATTTGTCGTTTATATCACCGTCTTTCACTTCGATTTTGCCAATCGAATCGACAAATTTTTCGGTGACAAAGAATTCGTAAATGGGATATCGGAACCGCGGCTCCCATTCGTTCACATCTTTCACTGTGATATTAACAGAAGCGGAATCATTCTAAAAACCAAATTTCGATAAAAAAAAGAACATCAACGACCACCTGCTGTAGGGAGTCTCACCGTTTTCCCATCTGTAGCGAACACCTTAAAGAAATATTCGTCAGTTTTCTCATAATCTAAACTTTTCCTCAACGCTACTTCTCCCCGAGGATTAATGGCAAACGTTTCTAAAATATCCTTGTTTGAAACGTAGTACTTTAAGTCTTCTCCGGGTCTATTTGTAGCCAGCACACCTATGACTGTGCATCGAGGTGTGGATTCTGGAACGACGATTTCAAAAGATCTTTTTAGAAAAGAGACTCTGCCTTCCAAAAAAGGACGGGAAACTGTCAACGTTGTAAGGGCGTATCTATCAGGATTATCATGTTGTGTAGCCCGAACGACCAAAGTCTTCGGATAAACCGGATCTCCGTTTAAATCTAAACTTTTTTTCACTTTCACTCGCGCACTCAGTTTATCGATATTGAAATGTTTGTAATCATTATCGTCACTGATAAAATCGTAAACTATTGTTGCATTTATGCCAACATCTTGATCATAAGCTTTAATTTCACTTGGAAGTATTTTCAGTTGGGTTCCTGTGTTAGCAATGGTCTCAGGCACAGAACTGGAATATTTTTCGTGATTGAATTTTGGATTTTGATCGTCAGCATCTAAGACATTTACTGTAAGAATTGTGTCGGAATATTTTGGAGGCTCTCCCGAATCCATTGCGCGAATTTTAACATCGAATTTTTTTAATTTTTCGTAATCTAATGGCCTTTTCAACACAAGGGTCCCTTCCATTTGGTTTTCGAACTCGAAAAAGTCAGAATAAGGCCCGGGAAGAACCGAATATAAAACGGTTGAAAACTGAGGTGATTGATCTGCGTCAATGGCATGCACCCCTCGAAGCACCCTCGTTCCTACCACAGTTACTTCGGATATATTGAGTTTGTAAGGGGCTTTTACAAAAATAGGGTAATTGTCATTGACATCAGTGACTCTGATGGTGACTGGAATTACGAAACCTGAACCAAAAGTGTGCACTCTTTCGCAAATTACGTTTAAAAACACAGAAGAAGGACCGTCAATTCCTTCTTTATCCAGTTGATGTTTGAGAGTGAAATTTTTTGATCCTGGTATAATCGTAACAGGACCTTTCGACTCCTCTAAATGAAGTACAATATCGCCCCCAGGACCTGGATTACCTACTATATTTAACTGACCTATTATTGATCCCACAGGACTATTTTCTGGTATTATTATATTTTCGCGGGTAGAACCGTTTTCCAAAAAACAACGGTTGTCCAAAAGTTCTAGAAATGAGAAACATTCCGTCAAACAACAATTGAAATATGATGGCTAATTGATTTCATAATTAGGAACGCCTAACGAAAATTTATTTAAACACAGAAGCAGTAAATGCCACAGGATATACTTTGACAAACTAAATAAATATCTATATAAAAAAGCATTTTATAAAATTATTTAATTATTACCCGAATTCAAACGTAATATAGGATAAAAAATATACAGGGTCTATATAAACTAATTAAAACTAAAATATTAATAATTTGGCGTTAAATTTTCTTGTAAATTATAACTGAACAATAATTAATGTTTTTCATGGAAAATTTTTTATTCTATCAAATATGTGTTGTCTGTTTCTATGTTCTTGGATTTCGGATTCATTAAAAATAGTTTGTCTTAAAAACAGTTCTTAATTCACCGGATACTTTAACAAAAAGGAACTACGGTTGAAGAATATATTTCGCTTCGGTGCTTGTCTGGTGAATGTATGAAAAATTTTACAAGTTAGGTATCTTNTTCCGTTATGCGATGTGTCTACTTATTACTGTGATAATCGTAAATAAGAAAAAAAACAAATGTTCTGTTACTTTTGAGATCATAGTAAAGGAGCAAAAATTTTAACCAAAAAAACAAAATTTATCCCATACTACTTGAATATGAATACTTTTTTTTTTAATTTTAACACAAAAAACAAACAGTATCAGCAGAAGTTACTCAAAAAATTATAATGAAAAGATATCGTGGTTAATTCAAGAGCTCATCTATTTCTGAACAAACAGCCCCTTAAATAATAATTTCTCAATATTTTCTTACTGCAAACAGGTAAAGGAACACGATGTTAATCAATACTTGATACTTTAACAAAAAGGAACTACGGTTGAAGAATATATTTCGCTTCGGTGCTTGTCTGGTGAATGTATGAAAAATTTTACAAGTTAGGTATCTTTTTGATAAATGGCAAAACGTTTCAGAAAAGAAGAACCGTAAATAATTAAATCATTTCATCCTCCTAAAGAAACTGGTAACTTCTCGCATTTCATTCTGTTATAACAAGCTAAAACTTTATCCAAATGAATAGTAGTAATAAAAATTAATTATAATGGTAAATTAGTAGTGTTAAAGACGATTGCATACCTTGCAGATTCATTTGCTGTACTTGTAAAATTAAGAAGAAAATGATGTAAGTGTTGGTGTTACGACACCATAAATCCATTTTTCATTTAAATAAACCATCTACAAAGAAAATACTTCGCTAATTAATAGGAACAATCTGGTCGCATTTCTACAAAATAATTTAATTAGGGAGAATCTGAACTTAAGTAAAAGTAGCGAAAATAATTTCAAATTTAGAGAATAGTCAGGAAAAAGAACGTGAAACCACATAGTAATCTACCTAAAAATAAGCGAAAGAATACGCCTAATCTTAGGCATATACTTTTTTCGCGATGATTTCAACAATTTATTTTTTAATTTTAAGTTTTCTAAGTAATAATTTTCTAATTATAATTAAGACTAAATATCATGTCATCTAATATTCGATATTTTATATTTTTATCACTGGTATTTGTTAAATGTGTTCATTTCAAAACGTGTAAAAATTAAACTACGACTACTTGATAATAACTTTTAAAATTGCTCTACCAGTCGAAAATTTTCTTAATAAAAATGTAAAATCTTAATTAGTTTTTATGTTGTGAGTACTATGGCGAGTCATTTGCCAATCTGAAAGAAAATTGACCCGAATTAAGTGAAGGTATTTTTACGCCTTTCTTTCTTTTTGTTCGGTTTACGCATTTTAATAGATGTTCATTATGAATTTCTAAAAAAGCGTATCCTAACGGAAATGCATCAACAGTGAAGCATCACCCATTATTTAAATCAGCATTATGAAACTGGCTGATAATGGGAGCATGTCGGAGAGGTAAACGAGCTGCTAGAAATATAAGTCCATTCAACATATTGCATCTACTGTTTTATTAATACAAAAGAAAAATGTTGTAGCCATTCCCCAAAGGGATTTCATATTAAATTAATTCCATTTGAATCATTTGCAAACAAAAATTAAACTACTTGTATATTCTAAACTTTTTATATATTGTTGCATTTATGCCAACATCTTGATCATAAGCTTTAATTTCACTTGGAAGTATTTTCAGTTGGGTTCCTGTGTTAGCAATGGTCTCAGGCACAGAACTGGAATATTTTTCGTGATTGAATTTTGGATTTTGATCGTCAGCATCTAAGACATTTACTGTAAGAATTGTGTCGGAATATTTTGGAGGCTCTCCCGAATCCATTGCGCGAATTTTAACATCGAATTTTTTTAATTTTTCGTAATCTAATGGCCTTTTCAACACAAGGGTCCCTTCCATTTGGTTTTCGAACTCGAAAAAGTCAGAATAAGGCCCGGGAAGAACCGAATATAAAACGGTTGAAAACTGAGGTGATTGATCTGCGTCAATGGCATGCACCCCTCGAAGCACCCTCGTTCCTACCACAGTTACTTNCGATACTATTTAACATAATCTTTTTCTATTTCAAAAAATTAAAAAATACTCACCTAGAACACATTTCATATAAACTTAGTAACGCAAGTACACTCTACACAGCAAAAACACATTTTTAGAATCACCTGTCCAACCGCTGTAAATTATATTATTCTTCGAGCACATTTTGCTTTTTTCGAGCGCCAAAAACCGTGTACGAATTTTGAATTATCGCAAAAGTGCGATGAAAGGAGAAAACATCGATAGTAAGTTCAACAACCACTCTTTGCAACAAAAGAACAAGTGAATATTCGTTATCGTTACCTGGCTACGTGAAAACAATTTTGTGTTCAACAACCATGCAATTAGAGCCTATGGTGTAGCAAGCAAACTTAGTGGCGCTCGATTCCATGAAAAAACCTGTTAACTCACGGAAAAGAAATTTTATGGGCTAATTGCAGTTAATTACAATTCAAAATTTAGCTAATTTACGCCTATTGGCAAATTATGGACCGCGTAAAGTTTACTAAATATTTATCTACTCGTTACTTGATTGATTGATTTATCATTTTCTATTTTTTAATATAATAATCTATATAAAGCACAGGATAGCGCAGGGTCGAGTAACTTCAATAAAAAGAAGTCATTTCTATGCTCGCGAACAATTAATTTAGAAATTCGAAAAATATTAATAAAAATGTTTGGAGTGCGGCGCTATACGGGTGCGAAACTTGGACGGTAGGCACGGCTGAACGAAAAAGATTAGAAACGTTCGAAATGTGGTGTTACCGTGGATAGAGAAGGTTAGAAATGAAGAGGTATTAGAAAGAATAGGAGAACAGAGGACTCTACGAAAGTCAAAAAAGAATAGGCGAGATAGGTTGGTAGGACACTTTCTCAGACATGAACATCTAGTCAGAGACATATTAGAGGCAGAAACGGGAGTTAGGAGGGGTAGAGGTAGACCTAGATTAGATTACAAATAGTTAAGGATGTGGGTTGTTCTAGTTTTAGGGAAATGCGAAGATTAGCTCAGGATAGGAAGGAGTGGAGGTGTGTCCAGCCAGTAACAGTAGTTTTTTATGCATATATGCGAATAAAATTATAACATAAATATTAACTGCAGATGTAATTTTTAAACAGTCATTTATTTATTATTAATAAGAAAGCTACTTACCTTTATCTGTTCAAAAATATTTTCATTTTAAAATAGGACTGACTTGTGTATGTATATTTAAAAAATGACACGATAACCCAGTTTAAATGATTCTATTTTGCCACAATTAACAAGTATAAAACAATAAAACATTTAAATATATCAGATTTATATAAGGAATTGCTATAACTACGTATAGGTATGTTATACATGTGTATATAAAACTTAGGTCCCTATCAACAAAATACTTTTGTAAAGATTAAAAAAAAAATAAAAATGATCAATATAAAACAGTGTCTTTATCATTGCAGGTAAATGCATACAATACAAAACAATAATTCATAAACAATTAGGCACTGAATTTTAAATATTGCAATATCACTGATTATTGCAATGGCAAAAACAAGATGGGCCATAATTAGGTATTCCGATGGACTAGGGGAAAATGGCCCTCATAAGTGAGTTTAATAATTTTTCTAAAAAAATATTTCTGTTATTCCTTATAATTATTCCAATAATTTCCAACATTTAGGATTACTCCAATAATTGGAAAAATGTTAGGAATTATTGAAATATTTATAAGAAACAAAACAAAAATTAATAATAAAATGATTTAGAAAACATAAACTTACTGTTATGGCGCCATATTCACACTCTTATTAATCCCAGTCCTTTCCAGCACAATTTAAATAAAACTTAATATTTACTTAATTAAAAAAGTTGTGATTATTCATATCTCTGAAATTACTCTTGCTATGTTCGACGATAACAATAATGTATAAAAGGGGGTCTATAAAAGGTTTATTTGATAAATTAAGTATCCAAAATTTCAACTAAAGTAGCTCACTAATTGTAAAACTAAATTTGCTAGCCTTATCTAATATTCTTCTGTGATCGTTTAAATGCATTTTATATTCGAACTAAAGGAAAAAAAATAATTACAATTAATTACATTTCATTCTGGACATGAAAAAACAGACGGAATGGTTTCCTTTGTTTTAGACACTGTCGAATATCCCAGTAATTCCTGACAAGGAACTTCACCGCTTTGAATTTGCTTCAACTGATTAAGAAGATCGTAATTTATTGTATCGGTCACTTTCGAGTCGTTTCTGTTGCAAAATAAAAGAAAAGCGAGCTTCATTTATCATGCAGGATATGTTAAATATTAAAAATAAATCAAGAATGTTCATTAAGGTTCCGTACACCAAAAATGTTCACTCTATCGCAATATTATTATGTATTATATTATATTATTGCAATAAAATTGTACAATGCAGTAAATAAAATAATCTGTAAGGGAACCCTCGAAGAACGATTCAAATCCTTTTTTTAATTAGATAATATTTACTTGTAATCAGGATGAGATAAGACAAACTTCCTAATCCAGGAAGCTGTGGTAAGTACGTTTCCAGACGCCCTCTGTTGAATAAGTTTAAGATACTGCTGGATAGTACAGTGGGTGTCAGCGTCCACGTCCATTCCGGTGAGGTAGTTATTTATTAAGGGCACCAATCCAGGGAACTCTCCCTCCTAGATCATACAATAACAATCTCAAATACAGTAACAAGACTAAAACTTTCACGGCGTTATTAGGACATCATGGCCGTGAGTCAGTATTGCTTTTGTCCACCAATGGAGTTAATTATCCGACGTTTCCCCAACTAGTGTAGTAGGCATCCTCATTCATAGCAATGAGTTAAACCAGCACTATATTACCTAACAATGCCAACCACACCAACTATGAATCAATGAACTCACCAAAGGATAAAAACCAATCGCAAACTACGGCCAAGAAGCCTAAATTTGAAATCTTCTTTGAACTTAAGCAAGTACCTTTTACAATCGTTAAGAGTGTTTAAAGGGTCCTTAATTTACCTTTCCATTAATTATTTCGTTAATTGTCATTGGTTCATAAACATCACAGTCACTGTTGGTTTTACCCTGCATACAATACTGATTGGCCTCGGGGGGGCTCACACAGGTCGTTATATTTTTCCTAAACCAAAACTTCTCCTCCCGACAGGCGTTACGTTTTTGGGCACGTTGCATGTTTTCATCTACCTATAAAAATTAAAAGAAGAGACCTTTTCTGCTTTTCCTTTACATAAGTAATATGACCGTAAATAAATAAAACATGCCTTACCTTGCTAATTGGGATGAGAAAATTAAGCTGATAGGAGAGGATAACGCGTGTAAGTAAAACAACAAAACAAACTATTGCCGCATTTTCAAAATCGGTAATTTGTACTTCACACGGTCTAAATTCAACCCGCCAGCCGATTGTTGAGTTCGGTGGGGGCGGTTTGAACCTCATGGTTTGCCAATTTGTTGATTGAATATTCTACAAAGTAAACATTACAATTTAAAATATTTACGAGGCTGCAATCAGAAATAAAATATTAAATTGACAAGCAGATATGTAAAAAGTATTAATTTCATAATTTGATAATAATTTATATTAGTCTGAATAAATTTTCATGTTTAATGATGTTCAAAAAGGTAATATAACTACAGCACATACATTTAAAAACTGGAAAAATTAATATGTACAAGGTAAAAACAATTAATCAATTTACAACAAAAAGTCGGCAAGCATACATTAGATATTAGCTCATCTGTAACATATTAAAAATAGATTAACATGTGTAAATAATGCGTTTATCAAGGAAAAGCAATGTCATGCATGACTGGTAAAAAATCAAATTATGTATTAATAAATATTTAATAATGAAGTACAAATAAAATGATAAGACCTTCACAGGTATGACAAACATTGGAACCTTAAGAGATAAGTCCTTACTATTATATATAAATAAAATTGAAAAATGAAATGCCTACTTTTTTAAATTTTAAGGAAAAATAACAAAAGTATTTAATTGCAAAAAGGACTATCGTAGTTATGGAAAAATAGAAAACCTCACCAAGAATTGTTTGCATTCATGTGAAACTAAATAGATTTGTTATCAAAATATTACTATAAATATACAGGATGTTCCACAACAACCTTAGGGAAACTTTACATTACTTCAAAAACTCACCTCAAAATGGTCAGTGTCCACCTCGTCGTTTTGGTGTACCTTTTCCGAAAATAGGGAGACGGTGTCCCTTATGAAAAGGTGCGCAATATGCTGCGACAACAGGTGGTCAATGTCATTCTCTCTGAGCTTGTTGTAAATCTGTTCATCATATATTAAAGGCACGTCATTGAATTTTTCGCCAACTTCAGATAAATAGGAATCGATTGAATCGTATCTCGACTTATTAATAACAAACTTGTTATTTTTGAGAGGGACCAGCCCTCTCTCTTCCTCTGTTCTACAATCAACAGAAGCTGAGATAACA